TCTTTTTACTTTTTACTAATTTTATAATTAAAAATAATGTTTTAATTTATTGTGCACCTCCAATATTCTATACAAATTAAAGTCAATATGTTAAATGTAATTAATCTAATATTCAAAGGTAATTGTATGAATATAATGAATAATGATGATATTTTATTTTATAGATACAGAAAAAGTTATTAAAGATCAACAAAAAATTATTAACAAAACTTTGGGACTTGAAATTATTGGTTCGGATATTATTACATCTGATGATATAATGATTTCGTCAATTCCTAGTCAACCCAGTTTAAAAGTTAGTATTTAATATATTATATATCATGAATATATAAACTAARGAGTTTGCACTCACATTTAAAAAATTGCCTGGTTATAACATATGAATGTGTTAAATGAATCAAACTTTCCCACYATCTGTGAACATATTTTGACTATAATTAAACTTCATGATTCGAGTAAATTTAAAATTTCTTAATAATTTATAATATAATATTATTTAATTGTACTTGCTGCCTAATACAATAAATTAATATATTGTAGTACTGTATTTCATAAATTAAAAACAAATATCTTACCTCTAATATACTTCTAATAACTATTTCAACTGTACATAATTATATATTTATATCCAATTAGTAATGACAACTTACCTATATATAATAAATTCAATTATAACTTACCTTACTAACCTAACATTATGTTAAAAAGTTTAACCAACTGAATACTTCTATTAAAAATGCAAATCAATAATAAAATAAAATTTTTAATTGAATTAATTTWAATGCCTAATGATTTTAAAAAAATTATGGAAAAATCATATTCCATTTAAGTCATGGCTTAAACCAATATTTATCATACACATTACAGTGAAATTAGTATGCAATTTAATATAATTTTTCACCAATTAAATTTATAAAAAAAATCCTAAATATTTACGAATTTCTACTGCCTTTAAATGAGTGTAGCATATATTTTGTAAAGATTATTATTAATTTAACTTTGCACTAAACAATCTAAAATCAATAAGGTTAACTTTTTAATGCATATTTTTTTTTTTTTTAGAGACAGTTAAGTGATGTAGTAAAAATGGATACTAATTTAGATAAAAGTTCTAGAGAAACTAATTGTGATAGACGAAAAGCCCGCCAGATTGAACTAAATAACAAACTAGTCAGATCAGTATCTTTAGATGCTGGCTATACTGGAACTTCAAATTCACACAAAAAACTTAAATTGATTGATAAMGAAGAGGTAATCTCAAAATATCATAGTAACATTTAAAATCATATTTTTGATTAGGCACTTCATGAAATTATTTTATATTATAATATATTATAAAATTTTACATTTTTATTTAAACTTTTATTAATGATTCATAGTTTAAGTTATACCTGTTATATTGAATTTATATTACTTAAATCCTAATTTAAAAAAGAAAATCAAATTTTTCTACATATTAATTATTAATTAATCATTGTCTTTGTGTAGCTATACTATGCTGTGCAATATATTCTTTAATTACAAATATCCATTGTAAAAATAAATATATTCCTTGGCATAAAACTAGTAATATTTTTATTTGCTTCTGATAAAGGTTGAAAATGACTGGCCTTTTAAAGATTTTGTTAATACTTTACTTAAAGACTTATTCAATACTAAATGGGAAATACGGCATGGTGCTGCAACAGCTATTCGTGAAATTATTAAACATCATGGTCGAGGTGCTGGAAAAGCTTGTAATTTGCCTTCAGACCAAGTATGTTCAATTAGTGTCTTATATATTACATATATACAATAATATGAGTATGTATAATCATTAATAACCTATGTTAGCGCTTACATTATTATAATGTTGAATGTATTATTTATTGTCAGCTGGAAAACCATCATCAAGCCTGGTTAGAAGATGTGGGACTAAGATTATTATGTGTTCTTGCGTTAGACCATTTTGGAGATTTTCTTGGTGATCAAGTTGTTGCACCTGTTAGAGAAACATGTGCTCAAGCTTTAGGTATTTAATTTAAAAATTTATACTAAGCACTTGAAAAAGTTACACTAAATAAAATATTATACTTGTGTTAATTATAGGTTTTGTTGTTAAATTAATGTCTGAAGAAAATGTTTTAAACATAATTCATGTACTTATACAACTTATTCAACATAGTGATTGGACAACCAGACACGGTGGATTATTAGGACTGAAGTATTTATTAGTTGTTAGAAAAGTAAGTTATTAAATATTGATTGTAATTTATTTTAGTAGTATATTAGTATAATACTAGCTAATCCCGAAAGGCATTACCTGTGACCAGAGTTGAAAATGATAATAAAAAAAGGTATCATGATACATATGTTGATACATGCATTTAGTGTATCTAAATAGAACATACATTGTAATGTAAAAAAGATACATGACGATCAATATTTTATATTTCCCATTGAATTTTAAGAACTATAAACGCTGATAGACTATACTGCCTGTACATTAAGACTTATATTTTAGATTTCAAATAACACAATAAGTCAAAACACTTCATGTTTCATGATTTATGATGTTACTTTTATTTTATTTTGTATTTCATATAGAAAGACCTACATGATTACAATCATATCTAAGTATCAGATTTGTAATATTTTATGAGAATAAAATTGCCAGTTTTGTTTTCAGCTGTATGACTAAGGGTAGATAGTAAATACAGATATAGTGATGAAACAAATCTAAAATAACCCATGAGCTACCTAAAATTTACTCATCACCCACCCTCCTACCAATAATTTATAATAAATAAAAGTATTATTGTTTATTAGCAATACTATTACTATTTGCCTGCTATAATTGTAATTTAGTAAATATTCTTCACTTCCATATTGAGCACCCTCAAATTTTATTTAAAAACTGAGAAGCAACTGCTTGTCTTGTTTATATTGACAAAATGATATGTTATACTTTAAAATTAGGTACATGATACAAGATACTATTGTATCTTTGGTACTACCTAACACCTGTCCGTTTCAATTTAAATGCCTGTTGATTTAGTGCTTATTGTGCTCTATCAAATGTAAGATTCACAGTTATTTAATATTTATTATTTGAATTGTTTTGATCAAATACAGGTATAAAATTATGTCCAATAGTAATAACTATTTTATAATATGTTTATTCGTTTTGAATTCTCTATCAAACAAAAAGACAGTCAAATGTGTTTGCGTGTTTCATACAATATATATTTAATTTTACATATTTATTTGTATATTTAAATCACACCATATATAGAATTTAAATTCTTTTAATTTGTGATACACAAGATCAATGAAATAATAAAATAAAATAAAATGAGATAGTTTTTT